TCAGTGTTTGCTGTACTCTGATTCTCAGTAACTGTTTCTGTGTCCCTCCAGATTGAGGGCAGTAGTTTGCCCCATGACCTCAGTTTTCCTAGTTCATTATTTTCAGATTTTTTTTTTTCTTGTGAGGTTGGGAGTGATTGATGACATAACTTCTTTACATCTTGGAACAGAAAGAGGAACCCTTTGTCTTTGGTGTCATTAGTTGTTGTTTATTCCCCTGGTACTTTCTCCACATTATTATTCATTTGTGCTGCTTTTGTTTTTGCAGTCCCCATTTGTAACAACTCCACCCAAAACAGAACGAAACACTGCCCGGTCCTGCACCAAGTTCACAGTCACCGCTGGATCTGAGCTCACCACTAAAGTCACTCTGTCAATCCTTCCTATTGAGAAACTTCCTTTCCTCCATTGACTCTCTTCTTACCAAGCATGATGCCTTTCTTCAGGGACTGATCCCTCCTGATAACGTGTCTAAAGTATGCGAGATGAACGTTTCACCATCCTTACTGCAAAGTAGCATTCTCATTGTATTTCTACCAAACTAGGCTTCTTTGTTTTTCTGGCAGGTCAGAATATATCCAATATTATTCATCATCACCCTAATCCAAAGGCGTAACTTGTTCTCAGTTCTTCTGTTGTTCCTTTGGAATGTACTTGAATATGGATCTCTTCTATTTGGTTGAGCAGGTAGTTATCTCCCAAATTTCTTGTCATAGATGAATGAGTACTTCCAACATTTATTGAAATATTAATAATATTTTTTCATCAGTTCCTCAAGCTTGTTTTCATCAGTACAATTTTTTTTTAACAACTTGGCCTTCTTCCTTTAGAGCTGGATTATGGTCATAACCTGGTTGAACATCAAAAAGGTTGTTGGGGTTTTCTTGGTGCAGTGACTGTGTAATTCTTTCATATTCTACAGTTGCTTAAATCACACAATACTTCATACATAGAATCTTTCTGTAACGTAAGGTTTGAATTTTTAAATATAGAGTAACAGACTGCAATTGGTCATAGTCAAATTGTTGAAAAGTCATTTCATTATGTTTGAGCTTTATGAAAAAGGATGCTGTGAGTGACTAAGTGAATATTAGTGAGGGGATGAGACTGATGGCATTATCCCTGAGTCGTCGTTGTTGGTTGCAACCCTGTGCACAACAGATCTAAACACTGCACGATCCTGCACCGTCCTCACAATTGTTCCTATGCTTGAGCCCACTGTTGCAGCCACTGTGTCAGTCTGTCTCATCAAAGAATGTCCTCTTTTTGCTGCCCCTCTACCTAACATCATGTCCTTCTCCAGGGACTTAACACTCCAGAAAACATGTCCAAAGTATGTGCAATGAAGTCTCTCCATCCTTGCCTCGATGGAGCACTCTGACTGTACTTCTTCCAAAACAGATTTTTAGCAGTTCATGGAATAGACCTTGATAAAACACAGAACCTTGTGTCCGATCCAAGTTCTCAGTTCTCCAGGACTGTTCACATGACCTGTTTTACTTGTGCATGTTAGTTTGCCAGTCCAGAATGTGTAGGGTGTTTTAGAACTCAGTGGTCAGGGAGGGTGTCACTGTGATCTTTAGACAGAGAGGGTAAGCATTGCTAGATCTTGCTTAGAATAAACCCCACAGAGATGTGATGATGCTAACCTTTAGAAACCTGACCTCAGTAAGTATCAATATCATCTGTGTTATTCCTTTAGTGAGCAAAATTATGTCACTCATTGACTCTGTTACGATACTTGAGCCGAGGAAGGGGAATAAATTAGTTTATGAAATAGACACCATCCCTTGATCTGTCATACTCACATGCCCTGACTTCCCCATGCACATATAGCACTTTGCAGTAAAGTGGGTTTTCATTTCTCTTGTCCTTTGGGACCTTGTTGAAATCTTTAGTTCGTTGATTAGTTTGGCCCAGTTGTTTTTCTGCAAGTAAACACACTTCTCCGTGTTCACAGTCCCTGAACAGGAAAGTACTAGCTCAGGTTAATTTCATTGTTCTCCTCTGTCTTCCCTTACGCTATGCATTTCTCCATGAGCCCTGGTGGTGTGGTGGGTTAATACTCTAGGGCTGCCCACTGCAAGTGCAAACCGACCAGAGAAGAAATAAGAGGGTTTCTGCTCCCGTGAAAATTTATAGCCTAGAAACACTTATAGGGTCACTGAGTTAGAAACAACGTGACACAGTGGCTTTGTGTTTTTAAGCTCCTTATCAACTATCCTGACTTGTCTTTCTCGAGGAGAAAGGACAGTGAAGGCAGGAAATTACACTTGAATCAGAGACTAGAAAAAGTCTCTTTTGGATTGAAGCCACAACTTCATCAGTACCTGAGCATTTCTGTTATTTCACACCTGATGATATGGAGACCCGTATACACATTTAATGTTATATGTGTATCATTTCTAGTATATTTCTACGTAGTTTTGCTAATGACTCCTATTTATGTCCCTGAAACTTTCAATGCTCATGGACGATTTTTCTTTAGGTAGATATTTAGATGTTGTCACAGTACTGAAACAACTCAATTTTGCTAAGTCTTTATTCACTGCCGTTTTTCCGCCCCCCTATTAATTCCTTTTTATTTTATTTTGTCAACCTCATTTTCATTATTTGGTCAGTCTGTTGAGAAACGAAATGATGAAGTAAAGTTATTCAGTGAAATTATACTAGTAGAATTCATGTAGACTACACCTGGTCTTTCAAGTTACAAGAAACCTCCAAATCACATAACAATAAGGATGAGCATAAAAGCCAGAGGACACATTTGAAGTATCCTTCATACAAGAGAAAGAATACTTCTGCAGAAAGTCTTATCCTAATGTGTCATAATAATAGATACTTTTATATGCATAAATATATAGGTACATGCCAAGACACACATGTATATGTCGTGCTGGATAAGAGGAGTGGATTACTGAAGGAGAGAAGACCATCAAGATGGCATGATACAGTGGCTGCAAGAATGGGCTCAAATATACCAACGATTTTGTAGGTGGTGCACAATGTGCCTTTGCTTACTTATGGGATTGTTATGAAGCAGAACTGACCTGTCATAACCCAACAGTTATTGCCTGAGCTTTAAATTAGTGAGTTCAGAAAAGTTTCACATCATTTGAAATGTTTTACAAGGAATCTCATCAGAAAGCCAACATATTTTAGAAAAATAATCACAGTAATTATACAGTCTTTTTACATAATTTTGTCTATGAAACTTTAGGTAAGTCAAGCAAAGCACATACACACTCACTTTGTTTCATAATAGGGACAAGTGGAAACAAATGCATTTTTAACTGCATGCTGCCTATTTTTTACAGAAAACCTACCGTAGAGAACGTTTGTGAAAGTATTAAAGGCAGCCAGTATCCAGAACCTCCAGCTGGAAACCAAGTCTTGATGTGCTGAGAAGAAATTCTCCAGAAGTAGATTCTTTGGAATGTTGTGAATGTGGACAAGCCACCATGGATCCCTCATCACAGAAACATCGTGCCACATCTCACACTGGATGCACTACCTGTCAGTGTAAGGGATGTGGAGAAGCCTGCAGTTGTCCATCTCACCTAAATACTGCAAGTCCACTTAATGGAAAGAAGTCTCATCAGTGTAAGGTATATGGGGGGAACTTCATCTGTATCTCAACACTGAAGAGTCCTGTACCAGCACTCACGGATGAGAAACTCTATGAATGTAGTCATTGTGGGAAAGGCTTTTGTAGTTTTTCATCCTTTTGGTCACACGAAGAGAATCAGGAATGTAAAGAATATTGTAAAACCTATAGTAGTTCTTCATCCTTCATATTAGAAAGAAACTTTAATAAGAAAAATATGCCTCATGAATGTAAGCACTGTGGCAGAGCCTTTAGTGAGAGCTCATCCCTCACTAAACATATAAGAACTCACAGTGGAGAGAGACCTTATAAATGCAAGGAATGTGAGAAAACCTTTACATGTTCCTCAAATCTCATTAGACACGTAAGAACTCACAGTGGAGAGAGGCCTTATGAATGTAAGGAATGTGGGAAAGCCTTTAGTGAGCCCTCATCCCTCACTAGACATCTAAGAACACACAGTGGAGAGAGGCCTTATGAATGTAAGGTATGTAGAAAATGCTTCATTGAGGGCTCATCCCTCACTAAACATATACGGACTCACAGTGGAGAGAAGCCCTATGAATGCAAGGAATGTGGGAAGACCTTTACAAGTTCCTCAAACCTCACTAAACATATAAGAACTCACAGTGGAGAGAGACCTTATATCTGTCAGGAATGTGGCAAAGCATTTAGTTATGCTTCATATCTCACTACTCATATACGAACTCATAGTGGGGAGAGACCTTACGAATGCAAGGAATGTGGGAAATGTTTCAGGCAGCTCTCAGCCCTTACTACACATAAAAAGACTCATGTTGCAAAGAAGTCTTATGAATGTAAGGAATGTGGGAAAATCTTCACTTATGCCTCGTACCTCGCAAAGCATGTAAGAACGCATAGTGGAGAGAGACCTTATGAATGTAAAGAATGTGGGAAAGCATTTAGGCATCTGTCAGCCCTCAATAAACATATAAAAACCCACAGTGGAGAGAAACCTTATGAATGTAATGAATGTGGGAAAACCTTTAGAAAAGAATCACATCTCACTAAACATATAAGAAGCAATCACAGTGGAGAGAGGTTTCAAGACTATAAGGGAAGTGAGAAGACCTTTATTGAATCCTTAGCCCTTGCTATACACAAGAAAACTCACAGTAGAGAGAAACCTTTTGAATGTAAGGAATGTGGGAAAACCTTTAAGGAGTCTTTAAAACTTACCAGACATATAAGAATCCACAACAGAGGGAAGCCTCATGTATGTAGTTATTGTGGGAAAACCTTTCCTCATGCTTCGTCTCTTGCAAAACATATAACTACTCACACCGAAGAGCGGGCTTTTGAATGTAAGCAGTGTGGGAAAGCTTTTACAATTTCCTCAAACCTTACCAGACATATAAGAATTCACACCGGTGAGAGGCCTTATGAATGTAAGCAATGTCAGATTGCTTTCAGTCGAGCATCACTCCTCACTAAGCACATAAGAAGAACACACAGTGGAGAGAGGCCTTATGAATGTAAGGAATGCGGGAAGACTTTTATTGATGCCTCAGCCCTCACTATCCATACAAGAATTCACACCGGAGAGAAGCCCTATGAATGTAAGGAATGCGGAAGAGCCTTCAGGCAGCTCTCAGCCCTCACTACACATATTAGAACTCACAGTGGAGATAGGCCTTATGAGTGTAAGCAATGTATGAAAGTCTTTAGTGAGGCTTCGTCTCTCACCAAACATATACGAACTCACACAGGGGAGCGGCCTTATGAATGTAAGGAATGTGGAAAAGCCTTTCGGTGTTCCTCATCTCTCACTATACACATAAGAACACACAGTGGAGAGAGGCCATATGAATGTAAGGAGTGTAGGAAAGCCTTTAGACAGCTCTCTGCCCTCACTACACATGTGAGGATTCACACTGGAGAGAGGCCCTATGAGTGTAAAGAATGTGGGAAAGCCTTCAGAGATTGCTCATCCCTCACTAAGCATCTCAGAACACACAGCGGAGAGAGGCCTTATGAGTGCAAAGAATGCGGGAAAGCCTTTCGGCAGCTCTCAGCCCTCACTACACATATCAGAACTCACAGTGGAGAGAAACCCTATGGCTGTAAGGAATGTGAAAAAGCCTTTAGTGATTATTCCTCCCTTATTACACACAGAAGAACCCACAGTGGAGTGAGGCCGTATAAGTGTAAGGAATGTGGGAAAGCCTTTAAGCAGCACTCTGCCCTCACTGCACACATAAGAACCCACAGTGGAGAGAGGCCCTATAAGTGTAAGGAATGTGAGAAAGCCTTTAGGCAACTCTCGGCACTCACGACACACTTAAGGACGCATAGATGAAATGGGTCATGTGGAGAAACCTTTAGAAGTTCCTCACACCTCACTCGATAAACAACTCATAGTGCAGAGACTATGACAAAATATACAGATATCTCACATCTATCATTTCAAACAACAAATTTCTGAAAGTACACAATTGAAGAACAAACTTTTTTACCGAGTAAGAAAGGAATATTAACGAAGGAGTAATTGAAGCTATTTTGCACCACTGGGAGAAATGAAAATTTCATTGTAATAATGGAACTGCCCTTATCAGTATTTATTTTCTCAATCTGACCTAAGGTTTACCTTACTTAAGGCCTTGCGCCAAGGCAAATTGAGTATGTAGGAAATAGCATAGGACAAAGCTGGTTTTACATGTTTAATGTTTTAATTACACTATTTTATATATAATAAAATACTTTGATCTGTTATTTGGTGTAAGATTGTTTTTGTTTTTATGTATGTCACATTTCTTTCCAATTGTGAAGTTAACTATTTACCTTTCAAAATTGGTAATTTTCTCATACTTTGATCTGCTAATCTTATACCCATAGCTAACTGTTGTCTCTGATTCTTATTACTGTAGTGTTGAGTAAGTGATATTTTTGTTCCACTTACATTGTGTTTATTTAAAATTCTGCAAGAAATACTTTTTCTTTAACTCACCTTCATTTAAGAAGTTGTCTATACATGGACAGCCTAACCTATATTAATTTTTTTCTTGTTCAATTTGTGCCAAATATTGTCATTAGGAACTCCCTAAGGTGTGATTTTTGCCATGTGCTGTCAATTCAGACTCATAAAAGAGTAAAACACTGCCTACTTATTTTTGAGCCCATTTTTCCAGTCCTCTGCCAATTAATCTTTATCATTTTTTGCTTTATCTATCACTTGTTTTTATTTACAGTTTGTGTTCAATACAAATCAATTCCATAACATGAGAAGTTACTATGAATCAAAGCATAAATAAGTTACTTTGACCCAAACACAACATATAATCCAAAGCAATTGTATAGTGTTCAGATATGAAGCAAAAGGGAGTGTTCACACATACACACACACAAACACACATTAAAGATTGATTGTATCTGGTTGTTGTTGTGTAAGTTTCTAAAGACAGGAAAAAAATACTTAGGTTATCAAAACGACTGTGTTCATATTTGATACTGCAACGTATGCACATCAGTGTGAGACCATGTGAGCTAAAAATTTCATGAACTGTCTATGTTAAAACCATTTCTGTCCATTCAGACCATTATAAAATAATTAATTTACGGAATGAAGCCCACTTTAGGCTCAGGACCAGTTTCTTACTATCTAAATTTTTTTTTCTTACTATCTAAATTTATTGACTCTGGTATAGAAAGTGTTCTAAATGTTGACTACTCTGATTCATGAAGTTTATGGGTATTTAAAAAATGTATCTACAAAAAAAGAGCATAAAAGTTTTTAATGAATTTAATGCAATTTAGTTTCTAGTCTTTACTTCCCAAATTCTTGATTTATAAAACATATCGGCATTAGCTTGGTACTGTTGAAATATGTGGAGGATTTGCAGTAACATCTGGATGTTCCTCTTGATGTACTTATAAACAGAACCATGGGAGATTTTCTTTTATTTAATCACTTTATGGCCTTGCAGATTTAATAAAAACAATATCCTTCATCTCAGCCTTTGTCCCTAGAAAAGACAAAACAATTTTTTCAAGGCACCTTTAAGTGTTCATTATTTCTTAGTCCACATTTAAGGAAGGAAACTATCTCAATTTTTGGATGTTATTGTTTTGTACTTGAAATTTCAAACACACATAACAATGGCATTCATTATCTAGTCAATTATGTGTTCTTCAACTCAGTGAAATTTGAGATTCCCAATGTTTTCTGTCAATAAAATAGGTATGGAAACAATGTGTTCTATGAAGCTCTGATTTTTCCTAGGCATAGTAAACTTATAGCTGCTATATAGATTGTGTTTAGAAGATGGGGAAGCAGAGGTATTTCTTGGCATGAATCAGTAGTAGAGGGGTAGAAAGGAGAGTGGCGCTGTGAGCAGACTACATTTCCAGGACTTCCATTTCTTTTAGTCTGGCATTAAGTGGATTTGTATAACCAAGGTATACTGGGAGGAGTTCCTTAACAATGCAGTGACAGTTGTGTGATTTCAATAAGTCTATGTGGGAAAAAAGCACCAAGAGCAGACATCCCAGCCTGAGCCTAACCACCACCACCACCAAGTCCTGCGCCATCCTCACAATTGTTCAGATGTTTAAGCCCATTGTTGCAGCCACTGTTTCCATCCATCTCATTAAGGGCCTGCCTTTTTTCACTGCCCTGTACTTTATTTACCAAGCATGCTGTCTTTCTCCAGGGACTGATCTCTCCGGATATAAAACGACGTCTCCCTATCCTTGCCTCTGCGGAGTACTTTTAGAAGATAGATTTGTTGTTGTTTTCTTTTTGGCAGTTCATAGTACTTACAATATTTTTCCCCAGCAGCATAATTCAAATACATGCATTCTTCTACAGTCTTCCTTATTCAGTGTCCAACTTTCACATGCATATGACGAAATACCATGGCTTGGGTCAGGCTCACCTAGTCCTCAAGATAACCATCCTTGCCTTTCAGCACTGTAAAGAGGTCTTGTGAAGCAGATCGACCTAATGTAAGGTGTCCTTTGATCCCTTCACGGCTGCTTCCATGAGCATTGATTGTGGATCCAATTCTTGACAGCTTTTGAGAATGTTTCTTTGTTTAACACGATGTCACCTATTGGTCCACTTGTGAAGCTTTTTGTTTTCTTTACGTTGAGTTGTGATCAACACTGAAGACTCCAATCCTTGATCCTCATCATTAAGTACTTCAAATCTGCTTGTTTTCAGCAAACAAGGTAGTGTCATCTGTATATTGCAGGTTGTTAATAAGCTTTCCTCTAATTCTAATACTATATTCTTCGTCATAAAACCCCTCTCTGATTATTTGCTCAACATACGATGAAAGAAATATGTGGCAGGACACAATCCTTCCTGACTTTAAACCATGCAGTATGTCCTTGTTCTGTTTGCACATCTGCCCCTTGATCCATGTATAGGTTCCACATGAACACATTGTAGTGTTCTGGGATTCCCATTCATCTCAAGACTACCCATGGTTGTTATCTACAGAGTCAAATACCTTGGCATAATCAATAACACACAAGTAAACCCTCTTGTATTGGTTGTGTGTTAGGCTGGGTTGACTAGAACAAATCCAGTGACACTGTTTTGCATATAAGAAAGTTTTGCATCAAGAAGTGATTATCTATCAAGAAAATGTCCCAGCCCAGTCCAACTTAAGTCCGATACTAGTCCATAAGTCCCTCTTCAGACTCATGCAGCCACATGCAATCACGCAGAGTACAGGAAGATCACAGGCTGGTGGGTTCAGGGCCCTCGGGTCCATGGTGGGTGGAAGCACAGGTGTAGAGCTCTGGCAGCTCTCAGGGTTGCCAACAAGCAGAAAGGTGAAGGAAGAAAAACCTAGAGGGTGGGCCTCAGGATCCCTGCTTATAGGAAGACCACACCCCCAAGGACACAGAATTAGGCTGTGACTTGATTGACAGGTTTGACTCCCCCTCTAGCCAGGAGTGTCTAGTTGACTACCACATTCTGCTTTCAACCAAGATCCATCTGACATCAGTAATGATACCCTTTGTACCACATCCTGTTCTGAACCTGACCTGAAACTCTGGCAGCTCCCTACAACCATTGTTGGGTGATGTTCAGCTAAAGTTTACTTGCCCGTTCTATATGAGCGTTCTGTTGGGTCAAAAATCTCTTCCACTCATTTAGTCAAGTAGCTGTCTTCCAAATTTCCTGGCATAGACTAGTAAGTGCTTCCAGTGCTTTATCAGCTTGTCAGAACATTTCAATTGGTATTCCATCAATCTCTGGAGCCTTGTTTGGGCTAATGATTACAGTCCAGCTTCAACTTCTTCCTTTAGGACCATTAGTTCTTGCTCATATACTACCTCCTGAAATGGTGGAATGTCATTCAACCAGTTCTTTCTGTTACAGTGAAGCAAACCAACCAAAGAAACTCCATTTTTGTTAGCTGCTAGATGACTTGCCCACTTCCCCCTCCCATCTCAGAAAGCTGACTGCTAGTTGACCTGCTCACTCACGCTTCCTTTCTGGGAAATCTCCACTTGTGATTAATTTTAAAATGTACTTTTATGTTCCCATATTCAGGGTGTTATAGTTAGTTTTGACTATTCTTTAATAGTGTTCCTTTTGATGCTATACTCTGGATGGTGTCATTAATCTTGCTATGTTAACCAGGGTTTTATCATCAATTCTGGTATTGTTTCCTTTTTTATAATATGTGTACTTTGCAATGCTTACTTGCTCTTTCTGAAATTATTGTTTCTGTATTCTGTCCATGCTTGCTTGAGTCTTTGACTAATAATAGAGGAGTTTTTGCCTTTATAGACGACTGAGAGGTCCACTCAGGGCTGCTATGAGGGGAAACAACTTTAGTTTCTCAGTAGCCCAGCTAGCTGTGTAAAGACTCTTCTAAATGTCAGGACATTATAGTAGCTGTCATTTATTTGAACCCACAACACATTGACCCTTTATATTCTGTCCATCTTCTCTTGATGTGTCCTGCATCATTCAAACATTTTGTGCATAGAATCTTCCAATATTGTAACTCGAGACTCGAATTTTTCCTTGCATTCTTTCAATTTAAGAACCTACTAGCTTTAATAAATTCTATAAATGCTGAGCTGACTAGATTTTATAAATTTCTAACTGCATCAGTCTCCAATTGGAAAAGCTTTTAAGAAATTCTTAATTCTTCTCTAATTCCTTATTCTTCTTGATTATATCCAAACGTTCATCAGTAGTATTTTAATATTTTTAACAAGGTCTATCTCCTTTTCTCCAGGTTTCTTGGCTGTCTTCACAGGAAGACTTGGTCCAGACTATTCAATAGAAGTCTCATTTATTCTCTGAACATGTGTTACAATTTTGCATTTTGATAGTAATATATTTATTTCTTTTTCAATAGCTAGATTGATCGTTGTCATTAGTTTTCTAGTTGTTTCCAACTCATAGTGACCTTTTAGAACAGAGTAGAACTGCCACATAGAATGTCCAAAGCTGTAATTCTATGAAAGCACACTGCTACATCCTTCTTTTAACAAATCAGAGAGTGAGTTAAAACCTTCAACTTGTAGTTAGCAGCCAAGTGGCAACAGATATCAGTGATGGTTTCACAAAACGCTTAACATAATTGATGCTGCTAGTTGTACATGTGAAACATAAGTTGGCAAATGTACTATATTCAATCCTTACAACTAGCAAAACAATGTTGAGATAGAGCAGAGAACTGAACTGTTAATTACTCTTTAATTTTTCATAATCCATGTATTTTATGATTCTTGTTTTATATTTGGAAAAAATATTTTTTAATTCATTTTGCATTTCACACCAAATGTTTTTTATTTTTTAAAACAATTTTATTGGGGGCTTGTACAATGCTTATCACAACCATATATATATATATCCATTGTGTCAAGCACTGGAAAATATATTTTAAGGCATGACTAAATATGCCTACATATAGTCAAAATAGTACAGGGAATACAGTGAAAAGCTATTTCTTGACCCAATCATACACTGCAAATGAATCACTAATATTTCCTTGTATATACAGAGTGAATCTCTCTATATATATATACACACAAACACAAATGGCTTTTTCTACACAAATTGTAAATTTCCATACATAGCGTTTGCAACTTGCTTTCTTGTCCTTTACACTTAAAATGTCTCAGAAAAATTTTGCAAAGCACATAGGAGTGGCCTCTCACGACTGATGGGACATACTGCAAGGATAAGCATAGTGTGCTATCCAGTTTTCTAGTCCAGAGTGTGTCTTTTGTTTCATAGACAGTGGTGCAGGCCACATTCTTGACCTCCACAGAGCGGTTGGTGGTTTCGAACAGCCAACCTTGCAGATCGCAGCCCAACTCATAACAGCTACACATCTGGCAACAGATGCATTTTAAAATTGCATTTAAGATTTTACAGGTTGCCTTCTGTAGTGGTTGTACCAATTTAATTTCCCACAAATAGCTCAAAGAGTCTGGCTTCCCATACCATCGCCAACACAGTGGTAACGTAACAAGCTGATCTTGTCCGAACTGAAAGGTAAAAAGCAGTATTCTGTGGGGTTGTCCATTTGGAAGGCAGCCTGGCACCTAAAAGGGGTGGGGGGCGGGGGTAGGGGACGGGTAACAGCCTTCACTATGGATCACAGCTGAACATAAAGAATACAAAAATCCTTACAACTGGACCAATGAGCGACATCATAATAATAGGGAAAATATTGAAATTACCAAGGATTTATTTTACTTACATCTCCAGTCAATATCTGTGGAAGCATCGTTGTTTATTGTCGGTGCTACTGAGTTGGATCCTACTTCTAACGACCTCATGTGCAAACAGAAGAAAACACTGCTGGGTCCTGCACCAGCCTTGCAATTGTGTCTAAGCCCATGTTTGCAGCCACCGCATGGACCCACCTCATTTAGGGCCTTTCTCCCTTTTGCTGACCTTCCGCTTCACCACGAGTGATTGCTTCTCCAGGGACTGGTCTTTCCTGATAACATGTCCAGAGTACATGAGATGGAGTTCTCACCATCCCTGCTTCCGAGGGAAAGTCTGGCTGTACCTCTTCCAAGATCGAATTCTCTTCTGGTAGCCCATGGTATTTTCAGTGTCCTTTAGGAGCACCATAACTCAAGTGCACGAATTCTTCTCCAGCCCTTCTTGTTTTGTCCAGCTTTCACATGCAGATGAGGCGACTTAAAGTGCTGGGGTTTGAGACAGGGGCCCCTTAGCCCTCGAAGTGATGCCCTGGCTCT